TGAATTCATTCAAGTCAGGCAAACCTGGATTTAAAACCTCTATTTTCCCTAGAGAAACTGCTTCATATTTGTAGATTGAACAAACCCTGAGAAGGAAGAACTCTAATAATGCAAAGAACATGTCATTCAAGTGTTTTATCCTTTAGAGAACATTAATTCCTTCCCTGTGTGACTCTAACCAAACCTAGCTTACTAAAAAAGACTTTGTTGTAATTAAGAGATAAATCATCATTTTAAAGCACCAACAAGTTTGGGCTCTTCAGCAAGTTACCTAAACACAATGCATCCACATCACTCCCAGAAGCATTGTAGAATTGAGTGCAGTTCAACAGCTAATTCTGTTATTGATGCATCAGGTAAGGTAATTTTCATTTTCAATATGGTTTAATCCCATAATCTTAAAAAAGATGTACATCGGTATGCAGGAAACTTCAGTTACCCACTTTAATTTTGTTTTGCACTTGAATCATCAGCTAGCAAGACTTAACCTTCCTTTAAATATAAATATTTATAACCATCCTTACAGTAAATTTAGCATGCCCTCTTCAAGCTGTATTTTATAGACATGCAAGAACATGTACATTTGGTCCATGAGCTTGCTTAAAGATGTGAAAATAGCCAAGTTACACATTTGTAACACTTCAATTCTTACCTGTGACTTGCAGAAATCAAGCTTCAATTAAATACACAGAAGTAGCATTTCACAGTAAAAATTAACTAGATTGGTCTATTTTTGTTCTTTATCCTTCAATTTGAAGGACCCTCTGGTAACTAATTTAGTATCAAAACCAAGTCTGTACATACTGAACACAAACAAATGTCTGTCAAACCCATGAAGATAAAATATTCAAGTTGATTTGCTCAGATTCAAAAAGTAATTCAGAAAAGTTTTGGAAAAAAGTAGATACAATGTAAATAAGGAGCAATAAAGAGGCTTAGTACTTGAGGTTTGGGTCCTATCTACTGCTTTGCTCCTGATGAAATCAGGTGGCAAAAAAAAACCCTGACCTCAACTGACATCATCTTGCTTCATGATGCATAAGCAGGATGAAGCTGCTGACAACATAGGAACACAATACTGAAAATCAGTTTGTTCAGGTACTCAAGGATCTCCTTGAAGATCTTATGAGGTGTCAACCTTGGTCAAAGACCAAACCAAGAAAGGGCAGGAATTTCTTTCCTTCCCATAACTATAAAAATAAAAGCTGCCTGCAGTAAAGCTTGCCATCAGGTCCAGGAGGACCAAACTTTACAGAAAGCTTTCCTTCTGAAAGAAACTCAATTCAACACCAGAGATTCAAGCTGTTAACATTACAGGAACAAGATTCATTATTCAATTACAAAAAAAGCAGAAGTCACTCTGCTCCTTTAAGCCCAAAAAGGAAAGTATGAAGAACCAGGATAAATACACACAAAAAAATCCAGAACAATTTGGGACAACTGAACATCAGTTAGTCCAAGCCCCTATTTGACACAGTTCCACTCAGATCAAGTTGCAAAAGAGACTTGTCTAGCCAAGGTTTGAATATCACCATTCTTCCTAGACAGCCTGTCCCAATATTAGGGTTGGAATCTTAAATGAAGTTCAGAAAAATACTCAAAGGCAAAGGAAGCCTTCACACTCTGAACAAGAACAGGGAAAAAAGGATAAGAATACAGTTCAGAGTACTTAAGTCTACCTCACTTACTTCAAGAGGTTATGCAGTTGCTGCAACAAATCTACATGTGAAGACTGTTACTGATACATCAGGTAAGGTAATTTTCATTTTAAATATGGTTTAATCCCAGGTTTTAGAAAAAGATGTACTAGAAGCTCAGAGATGAGATGAAAAAGCATGTATAATTTGGATAAACAACAGCTTGCTGTACAAACAACCTCAGCATTCAGGCCTTGTATGTCTGAAAAAACTTGTATACAGCTTTACACATCTAGATCTAAAAGCCAAAAAAACAGCCGAACTCCTTTCCTGGATGAAAGGCTACATCTTTATGTAGAAAAGCTTACTTGGCAAGCTTAAATTAGTCTGTCAATCAAGTACAAGGATCTAAGGCATGTATGTTTTAATGAAAGTACCACATCTGTGTCATTAGCTTGGAAATGTAATCTCTGCATCAGTTTCGGATCCAGCTGACAGAACTGTTTTGAAAGTCTTCCCTGATGGTAGAGGCTTCCAGAATAACCAACAACATCCATGAACCAGCACTTGTACCCAGACTTCTATGTTCAGGCTGAACAGTTTGTCATGAACTGAAGATGATCTTTTTTCCAGTTCCCATTACCATAGGTGCTGAAAAACAGATCTTCCAAAGAACAGGTAAGAGACAATGGCCTGTTCTGGCATTTTACTGCTTCACATACAACAGCTCAAGAAGTTAGAGCACTGATGTGTAAATGCTGCTGTAAAGGAAGAGATCCTTGACAGGGCAGGCATGCTTTGGTGATGGATTTCTGGACTAGGTAGTTACATGTAGTTGCACAGTAAAGTAAACGAGAGGCAAAGCTGACAGCCCAGGACCCAAGTATTAATGACACAGCAGATATTCTCACTGCTCATACATGCTGAGGAAATCACCTTGTAACTGCATCTTAAAATGTCTATAAATACAAAGCATGGAATGAAGAATTACACATTAGGAAATGCAAGCACTAAGGTCACCTGGAAAGCTTTTAGTTCAGCTTCTCTTGGAACATATGTGATCCCAAATTCCCTTCTCCATCCTTTCCTTCCCATAAACCCCCACACTCAGCAAACTAGGTGGACAATAATCCCTGAATCCACAACTTCTACTTATATTCATTTTTATTAAATCTTGTAGCCTGTGGGGAGTTCTGAATCAAGTCTTTTTTTTTTTTTTTTTTTTTTTTTTTTTTTTTTTTTTACACACTGATCATTTTATAGCAACTCTTCTTCTAAAGATCTACAGTGCTTACCACAGTTTTCACACTGTCCCATATGGTTAAGTGGTAGTAATGTATTTTTTAAAGGTTGAAAAACTAAGCATAGTAAGAGTTCAAGGCACCAGAAGGATCTTCCAACTTCGGTATCCAGAACAGATGCTTAAAGTCTAGTTCAAATACTTCAATTTTGATAGTATTCTGCTATGTATTTGAGAAATACAACTCCACTAGCTGGGCGTCTGAGCTGCAGAAATGAGCACTCAGGCCTGGAGTTGTGTATTTAACAAAGCCATAAGTCTACACACACCTGTAAAAGTTTCCAGTAACTTCCCAACCCACAGCACAATCCACAACAGGGCAGGGACACAGCTAGTTCTCCAGGATGGCAGTCACCTGACTCACCAGACCACCACCTAGAACTTCTTCCTAGATAAAGTCACTATTCCCTCACCCAGTGCTTCTACAAATACTGGGTAGTTTAAGATCTTACTGGGCCCCTAGAAGTTCTGGATTTCTTCAGGTGTCCAAGCCTACTGCAGCCTCTTAAAATTATCTGTTATTACCTGTGGGGATGAAATACTGATGCCAGTGCACTCACAGCAACAGTCAAAAGATCAGACAGTTTGTTAGGCATTTGAATATCCAATCATCATTCCTCCCACAAACAGCTTAATCTGATTATATTAGTTTATTAGCTCAATTGCACAGCACAGATAAACCTCTTTTGGAGGGAGATGAACTCCCTGCCGAGCCTTCAGAACAGAACAGTACTCACCTGGTGTGATAGCTCAATCAACAGCTACAGCCATATTTACCAGGAAGATCAGGTCTTAAAGGATTCACATTAGAGCCAAAATGGTCAATACACCTAATTCCCATAGAGGTCCTTTAAGAGTCAGCCCTAAAGCTAGGGGTAGAGTTGTCCAGTTTTACTATTCTGAACATAATGTCAGTGAAAATCCCTTCACAAATTAGGTTATCTTTCTCCCCTTTAAAGTTTTCTTGCAGAGTAGCATACGGCAGTTTAAGCTGACAAAGCTGTGTACATGAGGGGGAAGCGTGCATGACACTAACACTTGAGGGATATTCAAATTTTACACATGCTCAAGCTACATTAATGTTAAAACGAGAAACCCAACAACGTCCAACAGGCTCTTGTACCAAAACAGGAGCAGCTGTCCTTCACTAAGATGTTTTTCCTCCATATGGTTTATTGTTGTAGGTCCCCCAGTTTATTTGTTGGGCTCCCACACCTGCCCTGAAGCACTGCAATGCTAGGTTGAACATCACCTTTCTGTTCAACCAGGTGCAGCCTCCATGCCAAGACCTTCCATCTGACTTCTTTGAGCACTAGTTATTTCTCCATCAGCTTTAGAAGCAGGCTACTTTAAACCATTAAAGAAAAAGTCATCAAATTAGTTTTGAAGTCACTACATGTAATATACTACATGCCACCTGCCTCAGTGCCATGCTTAAACTTTGCCTGCCATAGCTAACTCTTGTTTATCTTATCAAAAGGATGTCTGAAGTCCTATGCAAGTTCACCTCTAACATGCTCATTATCCTCTTAGGAGCCACTGAATGAAATGTGAGTTAATGAATAACACAGTAGGAATTATTTCATTATCCCCATGGTGAAAGAGCCATCTAATTCTTGGATATGATGTCAGACTTGAGAATCAGCCAGTGATACTTACTCAGGCTTCCACTGCTCAATGAAGTGCTACACCAGCAGCGTGCATAGTGAAAAGCTTGGAGGCTACACTGGCAGCTCAAGCAAGACTGCCAGAGCACAAAGCAGAGCTACTCTGATAGCAGCCTTAGGAAGAATTAAAGCAACAAGAGTGAGGAACTGAAGCCTGTCATTTTTCTTCCCCAGAAGGGACTACAGGAGGGAAAGTTTTTAGTAGAATACTTGTAACGTACAGGTCTTGCACAGGTACGGAAACCAATGCAGTAATACTGTGTGAGCTCTTCATGTTTTTCTCTTGCCTCACCCTCCACTTTTACAGTCTCAACCGCACTCCAAGTTACAATCTGTCTCTGGTACTACCTAAGTCAATCTGCCTATTGAACTCCATCAGAAACCCAAGACACTTACAGGGAAGTGTGAAACAACGTATAGATCTTCCATCAGTCATTGGCAGTCCTGTCTTCTGGCATTCAAGGCTACCTCACTTCCACTTTTAAACTAATGCTTTTCACTATAGAACACGATGCCTTATGACTTCAAGCAGATGTTCACACCCATTTCCTGCTAGTATGAGTAGCAAGGAGTACCACTGCAAGAAAGATTTCCTCAGCCTACCAAAGTTCTCCTTCAGGTCATCAAGACATGTGCCTGCAATTAAAAAAAAGAGCAGCTTTAGATTACCTGAAGAGTCTGTATGTTTAAAAGACTGTCTAGTTCTGCCAAGGAGACCAGGCAGTTTAAGACAGTGTTTAGAGATGATATTTTGCAGATTTCATAACCATGAAGTCCATCCTCATTGACATTAGGGCAGCTATGATAGGCAGTGCCCTTCAGATAGGCTGACAGGATACATGTTCCTTCCTGTCTAGAACACCCCCAAACTTTCTTTAAATTATGCAGTCTGGAGCAAGCAAGCAGCAGAGGTTTGCCCAGTTCATAACAATCCATCACAAAAGCTTGCAAGCATTACTTACCAGGTAATTACTTACCCCTTAAAAACTTGACTGATGAGGAATAAACTAGTACACAAGCAAGCTAAAAACCTAAGCAAGAGTTAAAAACAGAAAACCTGCAAGACCAAAGCTAGAAGGCAGACATCATGCAGATGGAAAAACAGAACTGTCTGCTTGACATGTCATACCCAATGACAGCACCCAATGCAAGCAGGTTTCTCCGCATGGACTGCACAAACTGAGATGCACTCTCTTTTGAAGGAGTCAGATTTTCCCATAACCTGCAGCTTGCAGTCACTTCTGAACAGCCACACATTACTGAATTTGCGTAACACATCAAAAGCAAAGGATAATTGTACCATACTCCAAATCATTCTGAAGGAAACACTATCTTCAAGCCTAGCATGTGCTGTTCTGTGATTCTCACATGAGTGTGCACATGTAAGATGTATTCGTATTCAAGTCCTGGCATCACAACTACTCTCTCAAGAATGCAATGCTGAAGTATATTTAGCAGGGTTCTGTTAACATGATAGCTAGCTTCCATAATGCCATTAAGGTATCCTAGGCTCGGAACCCACTATTGTTCTATAAGCATTCACCTTAAGTTCTTGAATAGTTGTTCAAAATACCTGTATTTAAGATACAATACTAATCCCATGGTGCTATCTGTAAAACAGAAGTTGGCTTTGGTGCAAGTTTCTATTATATTAGAAGTTTCTGAACCGGTATGGAACAGGATCTCTGCATGTGAGGAGCATCTGCATGCAGGCACTGCCTGGGCCTCCACTCACCACCTCCACACAGGCACTTCCTGCCAAGCAAAAGGCTCCCCCAGAAGTCAGAGCCCATTCACCTTTCAGCTGCCCAGCAGAGCACAGCTGGAAATCAATGCCTAAACGTACGCACAGTAGTGCAGAGTGAGTTAAGAAACAAGTCTGAGATAGCATGCAATTTTAAGAGGGTAATGGGACAGAACCAATGCCCTCACTTGTGAAGCTGGAAGCCTTAACAATTCTGACCTGTACAGTGATACTGCTTTGAGTTTAGTCACATGTTTACATTCCCCACTGAGTCAGAGCTGTCCTTACATAAGGCATCAAGACAAAGTTCTTCAGAGCTTTTCAGTGGGGTCTTAAGAGGCTGTATCTATATTTCTACAGCAGTGTTGGTTAACCAAATCTTCATGGCAAGAAAACTGGCACAGCCATCTGCAGCCAAAAGAGATTAATCTTTACTGAAAGCATCCTCAGGACCACATCCACACCAGCTGTACATAGAAACTGCCCTAGAGACCTTAAGTAAGATTCTTCTCACCTAAAGCCAGATTTTATGTCTGACCTTGTCTCTTAAAAAGGCTCACATTCTATCACTTAGTGAGCAGTTCTTTTCTATTTTGGACACTCACTTCAGGGGACACACACACTTGATTCAACTGTGTGGTTTAGTGGAAGGACACGGCAACAATATCCAAGTGTCCTAACGCTGCAGTTTCCAGCTTAAATACATCTAGATAGAATCACTGGAACAAAGTAAACAATGTCATCCAGACTGTGGAAGCATCAGTAATTAAAAAACATACCTGCACACAGCATTCTTTGGTGTTCAAATGGGAAGGACAAGCAGGGCACCAGACATTCCCAATATTAACATAACAAACAGCTGTTAATCCTCAACAGCTGTAAAGCCACTGCAGTTCTTCACACACACACACACACACACACACACACACACCAAGCTTTTCACTAGCATTAAGTAGATGCTCAAGTGAGTCAGTTACAAAGTCATTCTATCACCACCACTATTTTCTCAAAGCTTAAAAATTAAATCAAGTATTCCACTCCTGGAATTTTCATTACCAGGAAGCTGCAATAATGCTTATTACTTTATGGTTATTGATTTGTTCTCCCAATAAGATAATCAGTTCCATGCTTTGAGTTAATTATTATTGCTTAACTAACATTAATGCAAACAGAAACCTGAAAATCATGAAATACACAGTAGGAAACCAAGCTCAACTACCTACAGATAAATTGAATACTTTGTGATCACCTGCAAGTGTGAGGGAAATTCTCACACAGCTCTAACATGCACAAGAAATTTAAAGCCCTGATGATTATATTCAGAGAATGGCCACATGAAAATGAAACAGTGAGGTAAAGACTCCGACTTTTTACTTTATCTAGACACTTTGGATCAGCAACGAAGAAAGGCTTATAATATATAAAAAGCCAGAAACTGGATGCAGTATTTCCAGGATATTCTATAAGACTTTGATTCTCTCAGCAATAAGGCACAAATAAGTATGAAATGATTCTCTGAAGAGTCCACCAAAACTCCAGAGATACTAGTACTCTAGAGCTTCTTCTGTGCTGATCAAAAAGTACTTTCAGTCATACTCTTCTCATACAATAGAGCAGATCATGTCAAGGATGTGATGGAAAGCAGCAGTAAGATTCAGCCCTGGCACAGCCTTATTTTACAGATGGGGCTACCCACTGTCAGAGAAGTTTCACTGACTTACACTGACAAGGCTGAACTTGGAACTGTTCAAACAAGTACCTCATTTGAAATTGCCAGTATGAGATGTTCAGCCTATAGATGAAAGCCTCTGTACTTAGACAGTGGAAGAGACTTCTACAAAACAATGCCCTTCACTCAGCAAGAGCAGCATGCTCAGAAAATAAGTGAACAGACAACTAGAAAGAGTGATTTAAGTGTCAGTCTTCCTGAGACTAGCCAGGACAAAGTGCTCTTTGTTTCTACATTTGAGATCTTGACAAATCAAAAATAGATTAAATGTGCTAGTAGACTAGCTTCTACCTCACAGACTGATACATGATCTCATGGAAAGGATCTGCCAAAACTCTGAAGTAACTTACACCAGAGCAAACACAGCAATGCATATGTTCTATTTTCCTTGTCAGTTTGAAGCAAATCATGCTTTTTCAGCATTATAGTAAGCTGACAGGTAATCAATAAAACCTCAGAAGAGCTAGAGGTCCTAACTCTATAGGTATTAAATAACATTAATAAGTTTTTTGTCTTGTTAGAGCCAGAAGGACTATTTGCTTGAGTACCATTACCAATGAAGGCTTTATTACCTCTAGTAACAAGCTCTGAAATACATACATTTGTGATTTGAATGTTTTTCATTTAACCTTGCTAAGTTCACCAGCATTATTTTTTGCAGCTCAGTGACGAAAACAGAGTTACTGAATAACTTTCCAGTATGAAGTTTCAGTGCATTAGCCCTCACTACTGAATTAAATACACAGCCACCTTAACATCCACAAATCCAATATCCCACTACACCATACCCACAAGGACTACACACATTTTATCTGCAGAAAACACATGAACATATCAAGTAACATCAAATCTTACCACAAATACTAAACAAAACCCAGCACTTCAGCTGTTTCAGTTAATTAATAAAACAGTTCTAAGAGGAATGAATCTGCTTCCACTGGCTACATAAATCTCAAGTACAACTCAAGCAGCACCACCAGCACACAACCCAGGACCAGACAGTAGAAGAGGCAAACCCTAGGAGAGCTGCTGCATGCTCTGCAGGTGACACTTTTAAACTTAGTTTGATTAATACACAGAACACTTTCAGGAGTTACATTTTTGAGGATAATTTGAAATCAGTAGTAACAGCTACCCTTTCAGCATTTAGACCTTCTTGCACCAGAAGTTCAGCTCAACACCCCGGTGCCCTAAGGCAAACTGTACCCTTAGCTCTAGAGTTGCACAACTCACAACACAGCCCTACTACTCCATAGCCAGCCTAGACCATAGCACACTAGCAGCACCCTACCTAGTGAAGGCTGCTGTAAGTCAGCAACTTGACAATAGGGACCTATAGAAGCACTTGTTTAATGCTTTACTTGCTGCAACCTTGGTCTAGAAGCACTATATTAAAATAATCCCCCTTCACAGCATGTCAGTCTAGTCATGCTGAACATGGCACTAAGACTAACTTAAGATGCAATGGGCTGACACGACACTGAAACAAAGGTTAAGATGCAGATTTATACCCCAAATCTGACTGCAAGGAATGCTGTCACTTCTGACAAGGAGTTAAAGACAACAAAGAATCACATTTCAGTTGTAATAAACAACTCGCCTTAACTCCCATTCCACCAGCTCAGTAGGAGCAACATTTCTGGGAAAAGTTTACACCAAGCTACCTCAAAATACTAAGAAAGGATATAATTCAAGCCTACTGTTTTCCACAAAAAACCTCCTAGTTCTCCCTTTGAAAATTCAGTGAGACTTGAAAGTAGGGCAAACCTAACTAGACAGATTAGAACACTTAGTCCCTACTTCAGAATTTAAGTCTTCAGACCCTTCCATTCAACCAACATCATCAAGCACTTCATTTTTAAGATATTCCATACACTCAGCATATGTTACAGTATTCAGACAGCCTATTTTGTTTAGATGATACATTAGTAAGAACCTTTCTCCATTCCTCCCCAAAACCTGTAAAACTGACATCTGATACAACATAAAATACATCACTTCCAAGTTAAAGGTGAGGTTAGACACTTAATCTCAGACATATCTGGATAAATCTCCAGAATTTCACAGGCAAAAAACTCACCCTCAGACCACCTCCTAAAT